TATATATATATATATATATATACATGTATAAATTTCATTTATCACTGTATTTCATTAATAAAGAGTCTTAATTGATAAGTCTTTATTAAAGACTCATCAGAAAATATATATATATATATATATATATATATATATATATATATATATATATATATATATATATATATATACACACACAATTAACTTTTGACATAAAAAGTCCAATTATTAGGTATGATCTTTAATAGCATCACTGTCGATAAGGATAAGAAAAAAAACCAACCACTAGTACAAATATTTAAATAAAAGTTCTCTAATATGGAAGTAAAAGTATACTCCAATAAAGTTTATAAAGATAAAAATGTTTTTGTTGTACATTTTGCATGAAATGTAAACTACACTGAACTTAAAGTCCGCATGAAGTGTACACAATTATTTTTCGCGCGTACGCATTGTTATAACTATCAAGTTTCTAATAATAATAATAATAATAATAATAATAATAATAATAATAATAATAATAATAATAATAATAAGTATATTGACGGAACGATTTTTGAAACAGTAGGAACGATTTTTAAATCTTATAGGAACGAAATTTGCAATGGTTAGGAACGATTTTTGAAACGGAACGAATTTTGAAATGAGAGGAACGATATTTGAAATGACAGGAACGATTTTTAAATGCGAGCATTGTAAAACCAAAAGCGGTTTTTTTTTATGTAAAAAAAAAACAACAGATGCTTTACCTTGTAAAGTTTAAAAAAAATTATCCGTTGATATTGTTATCGTTACAATTAAGTAGTAAAAAACAAAACTGAAATTAAATATTATTTGAAATATTGTTTAAAGTTGAAATGATTAAAAAAACATATTCTAATGTAAGTATAAATGTTTTTTTTTAAAGTTATTTTAACTAACATATTAATTATGTAGTTATGTAAATTATTATCCTGTATTAATCTGGTTATTAAAAGATAGTATTTAAGATAAAAGCTATCCATTTGACTCAAATAGAATTAAAAGATGCTCTAAAGTTTTAAAAGAACTCAAATTTTAATTTGAAAGATGCTTATAAGTTTGGAAATAAAATGCTAGATAAATTTTTTATTCTTAGCTGTTTTTTAAAAGTAAACAAACTAAGTTTAAAATTTTATTTGATTTTAAAGTTAAGTGAGAAAATAGTTTATCAAATTTGTGATATAAAGTGCAAAGTTTATTTTCATTTAATTTGGAGATTAAAATATGTGTGTCAATGATTTAGACAATTAAATTTTAGAAAAATTTGTAAAGTGTTTTTGTTGTTTTTCATAGTACTAATAATTTACATTATGAAGAACAACAAAAACGCTTTACTTGTCAAATTTCCTTGAATTTATTTTCATTTTTTTACTTTTATTAAATAAGTTTTTCCTTTCTTTTTAATTTAATCTTTTTCTTTAATTTAATGTTTATATTGAATTTTGCTTGTTTTTTTACTTTATTTTTTTATTTTTATTTTTTTAGTGTGTTGTATTAATATATATATTTTTGTTATTAAGTGTATTTTCTGCATAGTTTGTCTTTTTTTTTTTTTCATTCTCAAACTGATTAAATCTGCATTACCTTTGCTATGTATATTTTTATTTTATTTTAGGAATGTTTAAAATTTATTTTTAGTATATCAATTTAATATTATTTTTTTCATTAAATTAGAAAAATAATATTAAATTAGTAATTTGTGTTGTGATAATAAAATTTAGATTTTTAGATCTATAATAAGATATAGTTATAACTACACATACATATTATATGAATGTAATATAAGTTAAATGTTTTTATTATACTTTTTTACATAGTTATAAATAAAATATTTATATAATAGTTTACACCATTGCAGTTATTACGATTTGTCAGTTTGTAACAATTTATAGTTGCTGACTTTGTGTATATATTTTCTTGCTGTTTAGATTAATTAATAATATGTTGAAATATAATATAGCATTAAAAAAATGTATAATGTAATATAAACCTCAATTCATTTTAGGTCGGCAAAAAATTGTTGACCTCATTTCTATTCATTTCTATTTTTTATGGTAACTCCTTTTGTGTCAAGTTTTTCTGTTGACCACTAACAGTTTAAGGTCAGCAATTTATTGCGACCTTGTTTTTTATAATTCCGAGGGCTGTATATATATATATATATATATATATATATATATATATATATATATATATATATATATATATATATATATTAGTAGAAAATCACTTAGCAAAATTTTTTTTATTTAACACTGGGTTTCATCAATAAAGACTCATCAGAAAAATTTTTCTGAAAAGTCTTTATTGATGAAACACAGTGTTAAATAATTAAGTGATTTTATATTTATATTAGCTCTGTTATATATATACATGTATATATATATATATATATATATATATATATATATATATATATATATATAAATATATATATATATATATATATATATATATATATATATAAAAGAATAAAAGCTATATTTTTTTTTATAGAGAA